AAGACGTGGCAATATTACAAATCATATAATAAATCACAAAATTATATTGTTAATACATTTTTTTTACAAATGAGTAAACGCAAGAAAATTTAATTTTAATACAAATTTTAAAAAAAGTTATGAAGTGTTACTACTGTCCACCATAAGTGACCTAAGCTTTTCTTTTTTTTTTTTAATTTACTAACGTGGTATTAAAATCAACATGACATTTGGTGTCATTAAGATTCTTAGTGACGGTATTATTTTGGCTTGCCATAATTTTTTCGAGATCGGCATTATCATATAATAAAGCCCTGAAATATAGTATAATAATATTATATATAAGATTAATATATTGGACTTCTGTAAGAAAAACCTAACATATTATACATATCATTTCATGTGCGCATAAACTTTATTTTGCGTTATTGTCTGTTAAATCGAAACCAACAAAAAATACGACACGGTGAAAAGAACGAATTAATTGATAGGCTTACAAGAAGAGTTGGGAAGAGAGAATCTAAAATGTCTTTGGAAATACAAGTAGTGGGATGCGTAACGAAGAAAGCTAAAAATACTGATACTGAAATGCATAATACGCGATACGCATCAGAAATACATTTGAAAAAGAGAAAAGTATTTGTAAATACAAATACAGGAATACATTTAGAAGAGGAGGAAGGAACGCCAACCAAAAATAAAAAGCAGACAAGCAACGAGTATCTCAGAGGGAGAAGCTTTTGAGACTGAAGAAAAAAGGCGAAGCAATGCACAGCACTGATTCCACTAGGTTTGTTACGAACCTCTCCTCCAGGCAACTAACCCCGTGCGAGGTCAGTGTGTTGGCGAAGGGTCACGGTTTCAACATGACCACGACAAAACCCCCTTTGCCAAAAATGGTTGCAAATATCGAGGACGGCATCTTGCACCTAGATCCAAGTGCCCGAGACCGAGTCCGGCAGAAGGTGATCAGCATCCTATCGAAACTTCCACGTCGTCAACAGCTTAACCTGCCACGAGAAGAAATAGCAGCTCTCCGGAAGCTTCGAGGAGACACAAACATCGTGATTCTACCCGCGGACAAAGGAAACTCGACTGTGGTCCTTGACCGGGATGCTTACGAGAACAAGATTCAGGACCTTCTTGACAGCTCTGCCTATGAAAAGCTCAGGAAAGACCCGACATCACAAGTTCAGACAAAACTGAACAATATCCTTTCTGAAATTTTTAAGAAGCACCCTGACGCGCGGAGCCTTCATCTGCGGCTTCTGTGCAGGAATGGGTTTGCGCCCGGTTTCTACGGTCTTCCTAAGGTTCATAAGCCTAACGTCCTTCTCCGGCCGATCGTGGATTTCACAACCTCACCACTTCGGGGATTGTCGAACTACCTCCACAGCACTCTCTCTCCTCTCGTTGGAAACACAGCGACCTATGTGCGGAACACCGGGCACTTTGTGGAACAGGTTGCGCAACTAAAGGTAAACGATGACGAAAACCTGGTGTCGTTCGACGTCGTCTCGCTCTTCACCAGCGTGCCGGTTCCCCTGGCAGTCGCCACAACCAGAGCTGCCCTCGAGGGAGACAAGAAGCTGAGCGAACGGACCAGTCTTACGGTGGACGAACTGTGCCGCCTGCTGGAGCTCTTCCTGGGGAGCACCTACTTCAGCTTTAAAGGAGAATTCTTCAAGCAGACCAGCGGAACCGCAATGGGCGCATCCATCTCCGTCACCACGGCCAACCTGACAATGGAAGCCATGAACATCGCGCGCTGCAGTCTTTCACTGCACGCCCTAAAGTGTTTTTACGGTATGTCGACGATTGCTTCTGCATTATGAAGAAGTCAGAAGTGAACAACTTTTTGGCACACCTCAACTCCATCGAGCCGACCATCCAGTTCACCGTTGAAACTGAAAAGAACGACGCCCTGCCGTTTCTTGACGTGCTGGTCAAAAGACAAAAATATCAATTGGAATTCACGGTGTACAGAAAACCGACACACACTGGGCGCTATCTCCGATTTGACTCAAACCACCCTGCGAGCCACAAGGCGTCGGTCGTCCAGGCACTCCTGTCCCGAGCGAAGACTATTTGCTCGTCGGAGGACTACAGAAAAAAGGAAGAAGAGACCATCATCTCCGACCTGCTAAATAACGGCCACACACGCAGTTTTATTCAGCGAATCGCTCGTCGTCAACGTAAATCTGATCGACGCCTAAGACCAATCGGCGAAACACAAGAAATCGCACATCCCCGCTCAACCACGCGCATCTGCGTCCCTTACATAAAGGAAACCAGCGAAGCGCTCGCGCGTGTGCTGGCAAAAGAAGGCATCCAGATGTCCCACAAACCAGTGTCAACGCTTGGACACCTGATGCCCCGGCCAAAAGATCGTCCCCCCAAGGAAAGAGCGCAAGGCGTTATTTACCAGATTCCTTGTGCGGATTGCCCTGCCACATACATCGGCGAAACCAAAAACTTTAAAGAAAGACTTCGCCAGCACAAAACCGATGTGCGAAAATTCGATCATGAGCGCAGCGCGGTTGCGGAACACAGTGACTCGAATGACCACCGCATTGACTTCGACAACACACGCATCCTCGACATTGAGACCAATACCCGGCAAAGGCTCTTCGTCGAGTCATAGCACATCCAAACCACACCGCAAAACATCAATCGGTCGCTTGGCGCTTTACCGTGCGCTTACGTCAGCGGGCTCAGCCACATTACGATCGCGAAAACATCACGTCCACCGCCGTAAAAGAAGACCACTTGCTCCTCGCGCACACAGTCGCCCCTGAAGAAGAAACCAAGCAGGTTTCGAAACGTTGGGCTCCTTTCTATTTTTGGTTGGCGTTCCTTTCTCTTCTTCTAATTGTTCTTACCCAACCAGGCAGATTTCTGCCAAATGTTTACTTTCAAGGAATACCTTTGGCCGGGGCAGTGATAATCCCATACAGTTTTGATAAGCTTTGTGTGATTTGAACTCTTGTGTTACCGACAAAAGTGATATTTGTAAAACAAAAATAATACAACTTTTTGCTACAAATGTTTTCCTATGAAAGTAATAGAAAACAAATGTAAACATACGACTGCTACTACACTCGACTACGTTTTAAATAATAAGCAGCTTTTTAAATATCTCGTAGGTCAGCCGTTGCCCATTTGGTCAAATAATCATGTTAGCTAACAAGATTAAGCGTTCCACAAGTGTCGACGAAAACGGGTTCATATTAAAACTAACAAAGACCGCTTTCACAATGGAAAAGTTTTAAACCATGCAAGTGTAGACTTTTTTTCTTTTTTTCTATGCATTTGACGACGTCGCTTGGAGGTGGAAATACGTAGTATTTGTTGACATGGTTTGAACTTCCAAAAGCAAAAAAATTGTCCTTCAGTGAAAATAAATACTGATACTAATCGTGAGGTAAAGATAGAAGTTGAAGTTGGACGTTCTGAAGTCCGAAATTATTTTCGCAGAGAATTACCATTTTTCTTTTAGATAAATATGTGGGAAAAAATCGAGTCTTCATTAGGTTGGAAATCCTTTCCACCGATAATGCACTGCAATTATAATTTACATATATTGCACGCATTGGATGCAGAAAACTTCCAAGGACACCTAAGCACTCTATATGAGTTCTGAATGCGAAAGCATTAATGCCCAATTTAACACCTCTGAGTGCTCCTCGCTGGCGACTGCTCCGCCGCTGAGTGAGGCAGCGGCGGGAGTGCGAAGCTCAATGCGGCGGCGTGCTGAAATCACGTGTCCTCTCATCATAATGGCCCTACCTGCGGGTACCGGTCCATGACGTACGACCTCAAAACGTAACGTTAGGTCTAACGTTAGGCCTAACGTCAGGCCAGCGGATACCTTGGTCCCCCTCCCCCCTTCCCCCCTCCCCCGCCCCGCTTTCCCGCTGCGCCGCCAGCAGTTCAGCCGGCCCCTTAGCAACAATGACGCCGTTGCTATGGGACCACATGACGCGTCGCCGCCAATGGGAATTTAGGTGCCGTTTCGCTCAGCCGGAATTAAGATTCCGTTTCGCTCAGGTGATGAGTATTTAGGTGCCGTTTTTCTCTGCTACCGGCATCAGATAACGCCGTCTTCGCTCCATGGAACAGATAATGCTTTCGCATTAATATTACACGAACCTCTAAACTCGTTTTATACTTTTCCAAACACCCCCAACGGTCTGCATCCTCTAGTCCCATGTCGGTACCTTTTCTACAATCACTTCAAGACGTCGCCTTTAAATTATATTATATTATTTTATTTGGTTATCTGAAGGAATAAACCTTACGCTCGTCCTAGTAAATGGTGCTGGGAAGTTTAATCTTCATTTATAAATCTCGTGCCCACAGTGCCGTCAAAGTTTTGGTTCTACAAAAATAGTTGCCCAACATATGTTTTCTTTGGAAAATAGAAAAGGGAGTCATCAATGTCGGGGCCATAATGTTGTGAATAAAACTTCACCTGCTTGATAACAAAGTCTCAATGTCTCATTTACAGTACCTTCTGCCTTTCTGAAGCACTAAAGAACGACGGAAACAGTCTCTTGAGCTTTTGCTTGGGGTTCACTGATGTCTCGAACATGCCTTGTATCGGAATTGTATCGAGGTACAAGGCGTGCACCAAAAATGTATTTTGATACTGAAATACAGATACTGAATGAAAACTTGTATCGCGACACAGGAATATACATACTAAAACTATTACTGAAATACTATCGCGATGCCGCCAAACACTGCAAGTTACGACGACAAAACTTCGCACCTTAAAATAGAACGTCTTTAAAATATGCGGACTTCTATGTCCAAACCATATATTACATATAATGTAATTGAATGTTTCAGATCATCCCAAGGGCACTTCATGCAAAGAAAAAAAAAAAAGGAAAATTAGAAATGGTAATTTTTAAGAAAATTCACGTTAAAATCAGTACTGGAGTTTTTTCTTTTTTTTTTCTGGTTCTTCGCGGTGTTTCTGGATGATATAACTTTTCTGGATGATATAACGCAGACCAGCGGAATGCATCGCCACGAAAACTAAGTTTTCAATTTTTGTAGGCGCCCATCTGCCCGCAAAACGAACGAGACGGCCGATCCTGGATTCAAGCGACGATATCAAGAGATAGCTGCACGTCGACGGCCACCGCATCGATACCCAGTTATCAGCGGATGATTGCTCGGGCCTGCTGGCAGACAGCGCATCGGGACAGCCTATCGTCGGAATCTCTGGGCTATAAAAGCGGCAGTCGCTGAACAACTCTTCGCAGACCAGCGGAATGCATCGCCACGAAAACTAAGTTTTCAATTTTTGTAGGCGCCCATCTGCCCGCAAAACGAACGAGACGGCCGATCCTGGATTCAAGCGACGATATCAAGAGATAGCTGCACGTCGACGGCCACCGCATCGATACCCAGTTATCAGCGGATGATTGCTCGGGCCTGCTGGCAGACAGCGCATCGGGACAGCCTATCGTCGGAATCTCTGGGCTATAAAAGCGGCAGTCGCTGAACAACTCTTCGCAGACCAGCGGAATGCATCGCCACGAAAACTAAGTTTTCAATTTTTGTAGGTAAGATTTCATATTCACTCGCTTACTATTTGTAAGTGCGCGGGTGTGCATTTCGCTGGTCTGCTTTTTGCTTTTTGCTTTTTGCTTCTTGTTTGGCGTTTTCACGAAAATGGCTGAAAAAGGTGACTGTCTTTCTTGCCTGAAAAAAATTGGACATGATGCTGCATGTATTAAGTGTTCGGAGTGCACAAATTAATACCACATGGGCAAGTGTTCTGGAATGACAAAAAATGTAATGAAGTCAATGAACGACGTAGAAATTTCCGAATGGCAATGCAACACCTGCAGGTTGCATTCCCAACGACAGTCTGCGACTCCCGAGGCATCTCAAGGGGCGTCAGAGCTGACCCCAAATGAGGAAAAACTTGAAAGGTTACTCAAACAAAATGAATCTATCAGTGCAAAGTTGACCTCCGTCCTTAATAGGATGTCTTGCATTGAGAGGTCTCTCGAGGCGCAGACTGCGAGGTCCGACGCGATGATGCTCAAAATAGAAAATCAGAGTAAAACAATAGCAGGAATCGAGGCAGCCATGAATGATCTGACAGCAAGGTATGAGGAATTGAACGTTCATTTGGATAACCAAGACAAAACAATAAATGAACTACAGCGGAAAATCGGTGAACTAGAGGGAAGGATTTCACAAAGGGATGAAGAGGTTGGTGAACTAAGAAAGGCTATCGACAATGCAGAGCTGTACTCTAGACGGCAGAATATTGAAATCCATGGTATTGTCCAACGACCGAATGAAGATGTTATGAGCGTAATCAACACAGTGGCAACGAAGCTGGACCTAGCACCAGTGACTTCGAACGACATCGAGGCTGCCCACAGGCTAAAAGCTAAAGAAGGAAGAATCACACCTATATCGGTGAGATTCACCGAGAGGCGTACACGGGACTTGTGGGTGAGAAAAAGAACTACTCTTAGAAATGAGAACATTTTTATAAATGAAAACTTGACTAGAGCGCTGAAAAGTTTGTTGTGGTCCACCAAGGCACGTGCGAAGGAAAAAGGATACATGTATACTTGGATGAAGAACGGAAAGATATTCGTAAGGCAGAAGGAGGGAGCGGCAGTGATTCAGATTGAGAGCGAACGGGACTTAATCAAAATTAGGTAACCATGGAATCGCTTTTTGAATCGTTCCGTGAGTGGGACGGATATACGAAAAGTTCCAGAGCTGAGGGAAGTAACGCTGACACTAAACTAAGCTTAATTCATGTAAATGTTAGGAGTATTTACAGGCATTGGGATCAATTAATGTTAATTTTATCTACGCAACTACCAAGTTTGGATGTGCTTATTTTGAGTGAGGTCAGTGCTGATGAGGCAGGTTGTGCTACATTTTCCTTGCCAGGCTTTCATTTTTTCTGCTTGTGCCGAGAACAAAGGAAAGGTGGCGGAGTTATGATGTACATAAATGACAAATGCTTATCAGAAAAAATAGATGTTTCATTTGTACAAGCAGAAGTGTGTGCTGCTATTGTTCACAAAATGAATTTTTCTTATGTTGTGTGTGCTGTATACAGGCCACCCAGTTCAAATATACCTATATTCTGTGATGAATTGGAACAATTCCTTCAAAAATTTAATAACAACAAGTACCTAGTTCTGGCAGGAGACTTCAATATTGATGTTCTGAATGAGAATAAACAGGGAGTACCGCGTTATCTTGATACCCTCGCTTTATTTGGTCTAGAAAATGTCATTCAAAATTATACGAGGGAGGAATATTATGGTAATAAAATTACAAAATCATGTATTGACCACATAGTTGTAAGAATTAGTAATTTGAAAACACTGTCTGGAGTCATTAAGCAAAAGGTAGCTGACCATTACATTACTGTACTTTCAATATTGGGCGAACTTACTGCTGAAAATGTAGATTTAGAAAATGGGTACAAAGTTATACTAGATGCTAAAAAAATCGATAATTTAATACAATCGTTCGATTGGAATTCTTTATGCGAGTTCGATCATATTGTAGCCTATGACAAACTAGTGGACACGTTTCAAGATATTTATTCTAAAGGTGCTAGAAAAATAAAGTTGAAGAAACGAAAACCTGAGAATGTTTGGATAAACGAGGAAATATTAGAATTGTGTGATCAAAAGGAAAGGCTTTGGAGCAGATGTAAGCAAAATCCCGAAAACACAGAACTAAGAAATGAATTTCGTGCAGTGCGCAATAAAGTGACAGCAAAAATACGTTTAGAAAAAGGGAAACATTACTTAGATCAATTCACCTCTTCGAGAAGAAATATAAAAAAGACATGGAACCTAGTAAACCAATTAACTGGTAGAAAGTCTAAAAATAGCGTGGATGATACAATTAAAAAAAACTTTCCTGGATTAGATTCTTATTTAACGTTATCGGAATCATTTAATAAGTGTTTTGTTGACTCCGTAAGAAGCATAAAAAATAACATTTCACTGAATGGTCCCAATCCCGTCACTTCACAGGTCAGATGCTCTAGTTCGGCGTACTTACCTCAGATGACGGAGAGCGAACTTTTGAGGATTATAAATGCTATGCCAATAACTAAAACACCAGGATTTGATAATATTAGAGTACGAGATATTCGGTATAATTTTGATAAATTAAAACACGTTTTAATGAAAATAATTAATGACACCTTTCATACCGGAAGAATTCCTAAGGGCTTGAAGATATCTATTATACGTCCACTGTATAAAAAGGGTAAAAAACAGGAATTGGAGAGCTACAGGCCCATTTCCATTCTGCCTACATTAGCTCATATAATCGAGAAGTGGGTACAACTAACAATGACCAATTTTTGTGATAAATTTAATTTATTTTCTAGTACGCAATATGGTTTTCGACAACAAAAAAGTACTATTACACTTTTAGAAGATTTTTCTGACTGTGTTAATCAAGCACTAGACAATAACAAGATTGCCCTGGCACTTTTTATAGATCTATCGAAGGCTTTTGATACCATTGATCATTCTCTGTTACTTGAAAAGCTTTACAGACTGGGCTTCAGGGGACAGTTTTATAACTTTTTTCAGAATTACTTTAACGACAGACAACAAATGGTTAAAATTATCAATAATATAAGTAGTACAGTTAAAGTCGAATGTGGTGTACCACAAGGTAGCACTCTGGGACCAATTTTATTTAACGTTTACATAAATGATTTGGGTATTCTACCTCTACGATCTAAGCTATTTCAGTATGCTGACGATACGGTGCTAGTTTTACCTTATGAAAACTATGATGATGCTGTTTTAGTCTTCCAAAGAGATATAAATGAACTAATAGGTTGGTTTAACTCAAATGCCATTTCCGTTAATTTTGCCAAAACTAAGTTACTGTGTTTCCGAAATTCTCATAAACGTATTGATATGTCACCTAAAATTTTACTTCATTCGACACCGTGTAATAATTGTACTTGTAAACCTTTGCCATACGATAATTGTGTAAAATATCTAGGATTATACGTCGACGAACATTTATCATGGAATCAACATGTGGAATTTGTGACTAAAAGACTACGTGCCGTTTCAGCATATCTGTACAGAATAAGAAGCTTGTGCAGCGTAAAGATAAGACTACTGGTGTACAGGTCGTTAGCTGAATCAATTCTACGATATGGAATCACTTTATATGGTCACTGTTCTCCATACAAGACAAATGCAATAAACAGAATTTTAAAACATATGGTTAAAAACATCACATACGGAACTACATACGGAACATTAGATATGGAAGATAAAGCAAAGAAGCTCCAAATTTTATTCTTTAAAAATTTTCATAGATACGTTACGTTTATAAATTATTACTACGATGCAACGTTCAAGGTTCCAGTGGACAAGCCTAGGGACCTAAGGCGCAAAGAAAGGTTTATAATCCCCAGAATTTACACGCGATACGGAAAAAGATGCAGAGCTCACTTTATTCCCACCTTATTTAATGAGCTCACTGAGCCTTTAATGAAAATAAATTCGATAAAAGTACTAAAAAAAGAAATAAAAAACTGGTGCCTCTCATTACCTCCATAAACACTGCTTTACTCCCATCACTGTATACTTGCCTCTTGATGATTTCGATAGTTGTGTTCATTTTGTTTTGTGCCGAATTGCTGCTTTGTTTTGTATTAATGTTGGTATCAATGGCCACATTGCACCCGTTCGATTTTTTTTTTTTTATTGCACTCGTTTGATTTTTTTTTTTTTTTTATCATGATGTATTAATATGTATTTCGCTGGATTGTCTGGTCCTACGCACAAGCAGAATACTGCTTTTGTAGGCCAGCATTATTTGTATGTATTTGTAAAGGGAATAAAACACATTATTATTATTATTATTATTATTATTATTTGACGATAACCACATGGCTTTCATTTGATATACTTTCTGTCGTAAAATTGAACGTAACTAAAGTTATCATCACCCCAACAAGGTAAATTATTGTCAAAAAAGCAAGGTTCTAGATTTCTTACAAAAAACAACAAAAAGTATTTTTTTAAGACTTGGCGTCTTTTCTATAATTTACAGAACCGTCTAAAAACATTATTTGTCCTAGAAAAGGTATGTGAGCCTGTAGAATCTCCCAATATGTGACGTGTGACGATTGCCCAAATCCCCAAAATCCGCTTTTCGTCTTTTAGAACTCGAAAACTCGAAAACTAAAAGTAATATTAAACAAAAACGGTTTTTATTTTTTCCTACTGAAGACTTTTGTCTGCGTCTATAGAGTTTTTTTGGTAAAAGCTTTTAACATATTTTTTTTCCCCTTCACGATTTGAAATTAAATCGCCCCCAGACCTCCTCCAGGCGGGCATGAGCAATCTTGATTAGTGGAACTTCCGATATGCAGGAAGACAGCGCATCCCCCCCCCCCCCCCAACTCCTTCCCCCCCCCCCCCCTTTTCCCCAGCGCCTTTACTGGAATGTGTCAATGTTTTTACAGCGACTGCCAATCCTTTCTTTCTCTTTTCTTCTTTTTTGACTCTCTTTTTTTTTCAGGTTGGAATGTTTTACCTTTTTTGTCACTCATACCAGACGTGTAAACTGCGTGGCTGCTGACAAAAATGAGTGGAAAATCTCTATAGACCAATGGTTATCCCAATTCCGCCCATAAATGGACAGAGGCGTTCGTCCGAAAAAAGAAAAAACATGCTTCTCTTTTCTAGCTACTACGCATTGCGTTCCATCATAGGGTTCAGCGCCAGCTTTGTCCTCGGTACGGCCGGAGGCACGCACTCAATCTTTCGAATTTATCCGTCTTACACCGGAGCTTCAGTCACTGGTAGAGAACAGTTCAATCTTCTCTCTGAAAAGGGAGGGCATGCAAGCAGCTGAGACAGGGTCGGCCCAGGAGCGCCTTCTGACGTTTCTGAGCCCAAGGAACGGAATACGCGATTCACGTAAATATTTCTACACCTCCGGAGCCTTTCCTAGCTTTCGGCAGGCGATATGCTGGCCTCACGCATCTCGAGAAGACGGATAATGCATGCAAACTCCCTTTGAACTGGAACGCTGTGCTGATGTGTTTCCTCCAAATCAGTCATCGTCGCTGAAGCCGCCTGCGCAAATACGAAGGCGAGCGAAGTAACGTCTCTTTGGACGAGAATAAGGCAGCTTACGAACGGAACAATTTAGACTTTACAACTGTGTCCTGCCTGTCATACCTGTTGGGCTCGTTGTGGGGGCATTGGCCAGCCATGGCCTATTTCCGTGCGTTGATCTTGCTGATTTTGTTTTCTTCAGACTCTTATGCTGACTACTGTACCGTCGACAAGCGAACGGGTAAGGGACAGTAATAGCAAATACCGCTTGATCATTCAAACAAGTTTAATTAATACAAGCATGGTCACTGACATGATGAAAATGGCTGGGCGTATCTTACGGCTACGCCCAGCCTCCAGCACGTGCTCGTTCTCTCCCGCTGTTGTTTGAGTGCGCATGCACGCCCGAAGCTCAGGAGACGCCGAGGCACCATCGAAGGCAGGAACGCACAATGGAGACTGTTAAAATTGAAATACCTCCCTGCCGTTTTTATCCCATCAAGGAATATAGATGAAACGATAAATCAGCATGAACAGAAGGCCTGTGTTTTCGAGACCTGTGGCAATTGTTTTTATTTCGCACAAACCTAACTCGGGCGTCTATCCAACAAACATGGGGGCTCGCCAATCGTGTTTTATGGCTACGCCTTCGATTCATGAATGAATCAAGATACTTATAAATGTCACGTCTGCCTGATGAGTCAAATGTTGTTGTTGTTTTTTTTTTCTGCAAACAGCATTTTTACTGAAAAATATATGGGGGGAGTATGTATAACATCTTATTCATTAAAAAAAATAATTTGTAGCGGTCATTATTAGTCATCCGGAACATGCGAATCACATAAGACGAATCAGATGTGACAAAGCTTAACTCTTGCGATGTTCTTGCAAAATAAAAACAGCTGAAAAACGGGAGTTAATGCCACATATCGAAAGCGCTTCATGTTTGGCGCCGTTGTGCGAGTGTGCTGCCCGACTCTGTTGTCCCTACTGTTGGTGAATGCTCCACACCCGGTGTAAAATATCTCCGTAGCTACAGGGCAACACAATGTATGCTCCCTGAAGGACACGCCGCCATCACTGTTTCGAAGTTTAGTATCGCGTCAAATTCGCAAGGGGCCACTTTAGAACAGTGCCGCCAGGGGGTGAAATTCGTCACCTGATTTGCGAAATCTGGTGAAAGTATTGTGTTCTTGGGGTCCTACCAAATGAAACACCAAACCAGACAACATCGAGTGAATTCTGGAGAAAAATCTCTCGCGACCCATAGCAGTTACAAGCAGGCAGCATATCGTCCAGCACTGTGCTTATGTCGGCCACTGCCGGGAACTGGACTTCAACATGTCGCCCCGCTCTTCCCTCCGGGTCATGGTGACTACGTTGCATTCGTGTTTTTCGTTGATTTTTAGAGCGGGTTTTTGCCTCTCGCTGTAAGCCTGTCCGGCAATGATTATCTTTAGTACCTAATAGCATTTCGTCTTTATGAACAAAAGCCTCTTCCACTTCCTTTCATAACACATTTTTACTGTTTGCACTGCCGCCATAGTAGATGCATATGAGGAAGCTAGAGGAGGCACAGGAATCAGCTTTAGCAGTGCAGCATATTGAGTGTGTAGAGGACCCTCTAATGCTTAATTCCCTTGGTGACTTTAAAGTGGGTTTGGTGTCTTTTTATTTTTGTTTTATCTTCTTGGGCGTGCGAACGCGCACCGGCATCTATACCTTTCTAATGGCGTGAGCATAGAGCACTTTTTATCGCTCCATATCCACCGAAGAACTCTAATATATGACAGCAAGAGGATGAGAGGTCAATTACTTGTGACAACGTAGATTTCCTTAGTGATAGTGCAGAGCATTTGCAATCAGAAGCGCGAAGTTCATTTATGGTTCTTTTTCTGAATTAAAAAAAAAAAAAAAAGAAGGCCGCAAGTAGTCAACGGAAGGGGGTCACTCTGTGTGTTTCTCGAAAGCATCGTGCTCTGTATTTATAAAAAAAATCTAAAACATTTGCTATCATTTTATGGGGGATCAATTTTTGCGGTATAAACACTCGCTTGAAGCCACGATCGTCCTATTTATTAATTTAAAAACACTTTACATTGTGCCCGGCCTAATCTCGGTAGTCACTCAAAGTGCTTTAATGATTCTCTTTAAATACCTAATTCAATTATTTTATTTTATTTTATTTACACATAAAAGGTGGGCGTGTTTGGATAAAAAAAAGGGTCACAGACAGCTTTCGAGTACCTGAGGTACTCAATACGTAAAGCCGAAAAGAAGCCGTCTGCATAGAAATCATCTGAGTGCAGTATCTTAGATTATGCATTTAGTATTTTCGGCTGCTGGCAACGCCACTGAAAGCAGAAACCGCATTTGTTCAAACAAATGAAGATATGCATAAACAAATCATTCGACTTCAGCTATACTTGCCGGAGGTCACGCACCCTTTCATTACATTTCGTATATTTTACGTAATACAGATATAAGATCTCACTTGACAGTCTGTCACATTTCATATCCCGAGTACGTCGCAAGCAATTAAATGTCTGTGTAATAAATCATTTATTTTCCAAGGTCAAAAATGCGAAACGCGGTTCAATCATATTTATCCGAGTTGATAGTTGAAACACTTTCCTAGTCGGCGATGAACCATTAAAACCATCTTGCGAATACTTAATTTCGTTAAAAAAAACAGCCGATGCAATGTTGTTTTATTTTTGCGTTGTATGCGTCAACAGGGAGGTTCTTCAGAGAGCGATGTTAAGAAAGTGTCGGTGTCTGAAAATCAAAGAGTGAGCACAAAACTTGCAATGTGATCCGTTCTCTGGAATTCAATGCATTGCTAAACAGGTTGTCAATTGGCCTTATCGCTAAGCATTCAATATTTAGTCTTGTTGTTAGTTTATTTTTTTAGAATCTAGTGTCGGTGGGTACGGCGGCAGTAAAAGTGATCCTCCTCCTGCATCAGTTCAGTCGTTTCGCCGCGAAATCTGACCGAACGATGAACATTACCAGATGAAAGTCTCAGTAAAATCGTCTGCTATTTAGGTTCATAACCACATCGTAGCTCTCAAATTGGCCCAGTACCGCAGTAGAGTTTGTGGTGCACCACAGGGGACACATTTGTATCACAAAATTAAGCGAACACTACGTAACACACCAACACAGCCGCGGACGCGCCGAAACCGAAACCAACCAGATTAAAGCTACCCTATGTCGGTGAGTGCTTCAGCGCCTTTCATACTCCGAACATCTAACTGCTGAGGATGCCACTCGTCGATGGGATACATCAACACATGATTATCACCGGAAGACGGACGAAAAAGGATACAAGAGACAAACAAACACACTTCAATCAAGCAACGCCAAAAGCGAAATGTCACGGCGTTAGTAATATTTACGTGCTCGTGCAACGATCAGCTAAACTAATCAAGAGCAGTGAATATGCCATCAACCTTAGTTTTAGAGCGCAGCTCTTAGGCGCCCGTTTCCGGCTTGAGCGGCGTCGGCGTCGCCGTCGCCGTCGGCGTAACCAAGGTCACCCCAAGGTCACGTGACCCCCAGGACACGTTACCCCCAAGGTCACCCCAAGGTCACGTGACCCCCGAGGTCACGTGACCCCTCCCAAGGTCACGTGACTCTCAAGGTCTCGTGACCCCCCCAGGTCACGTGATCCCTCCCATGGTCACGTGATCCCTCCCAAGGTCACGTGACCCCCGAGGTCACGTGACCCCTCTCAAGGTCACCCCAAGGTCGCGTGACCCCCGAGGTCACGTGACCCCTCCCAAGGTCACCCCCCCGGTCACGTGACTTCCAGGTCACGTAACCCCCAAGTCATGTGACCCCCCCGGTCACGTGACCCCCAAGGTCTCGTGACCCCCAGGTCACGTGACCCTCCAAGGTCACGTGACCCCCAAGGTATCGTGACCCCCAGGTCACGTGATCCCTCCCAAGGTCACGTGACCCCCAAGGTCTCGTGACCCCCGAGGTCACGTGACCCCCGAGATCACGTGGCCCCCAGGTCACGTTCCCCCCCTTCCCGAGGTCACGTTCCCCCCCTTCCCGAGGTCACGTGACCCCTCCCCCCGAGGTCACGTGACCCCTCCCCCCGAGGTCAGGTGACCCCCCCGAAGCATATTAAAGAATGATGGGAGGAGGAGGAGAAGGGGTCTACCCTCCCCTCAGTACCCTTCCCTCCTCCTCCTCAAGATCTGCGCTCCACGTCGGCGTACAGGGAGTTGTAAACGGCTTTCACTTTTTTTTAGTGTGTCACTTTCAATCCCTTCGATACATTCGTCTGCCCTCGCACGTCTACCTCGTCCACCTCCTTTTCACGCCTGACCTCTCTCTGAACTTGGGTTATGGCGGAGGCGTGATCACGTGGCCAAAGATCGACACACGACTAGTGGTCTACCGGGAACCATTGTTGGCAAAATTACTTTCAAAAAGTGATTAAATTACATTAATAATTACTTTTCAGAAACCTGCGAAAATGCAATTTAGTTACATTACAAATTATCGCAGACTAAAAGTAATGACATTACATAAAATTACTTTCCAAAAGTAATGACATTACTTTGACATTACTTTTCAGCACTTTGAGGCAGTAATTTGTGTTAATTATAATTACAGTATATGTACCAAAACTCACATCTTCCTGTTTACAGCACACCATCCATATGCGCCTTAAAGTGAACCATGCTTAACAATTGTTTTGCTGGAGCACACGACATAAATATTAAACATGGTTAACAGCTTCCTCTTTAGATGTGACTCAAAGACAGTTGACTCACCGGTTTCGCTGTTCATTCAACGGTGATGATCCTTAGTTAAAAAGAGAGATGTTTCCAACCTGAAACGTTTCCCTTCCGCCTCGGGCGCAATCCAACCCCATTTTCCCACGAGCACTAGTTGACGTATCTCCGGTCATCCCTGTCAAGGAGTCTTGTTCCCAAACATCCAAAGAGCCCAAGTCGTTGCGCGTTGTCACAAAGGGGGCTGGATATTGGCTAGGCAGAAGCGTCGCCAGTTGAGAAGAGGAATGGCGCGAGCTTCCTAAGATGTGTACTTTCCCAACAAACCGGTGGCGGCGTCTGCTCGTAGGCTTATTACCGAATAAACTTCCCAAAGAAAGGCAGCGAGGCATACCGCGACTAACATCTGCTTTGCTCAACTGTCGTCTTTTCCGACTACAAAAAGCACTTTTAGTGCCAAGGATATGGACAAAACGTTCTGGGTCTTTGACAAGGCATGTGGGATTAACAATTCATTCATGTCGTTTGTTGTTCACTATGGTCGAAGCTTACGGTTTGACCTTGCTTGACGAAAGAGCAATAAGAGTGGGTGTTTGTTTGTCCTCTCCTCTTGGGTTTTGAAATAGGCTGACCTCACTGGTGATGTGCCCTTCGCCTTGTAGCATATGAGCCGTTCATCCCGCAGCTAAGAGCGCGGTAGAAGCTACGTGCTCGTTGGAACAGTCACACGTCTATCTTTCGCCGCCTAACCACACTCTCGTTCCTACACCCCCGCAGAGAAAGGGACGGATCAGGGGATGAAAGGAAGGTGGTTGATTGACTCTGGTGAGCTCTTAACTCCCACTGCACTGTCAGCTTAGTGGTGTACGAAGTATAGTATCATAGTGACGGCGTGACGACGTGACGACGTGAGGATGCCTTGCCTGGAGTTAGTGAGCTGGGGTTTTCCAGCAATGTCCTTACACGTAAGCTATTCTCCTCCGCCTTTCGAGCCCGCCTTTGTGCGTCTGTCGAGTTCTTCGTATGAGGATTTGCGCTCAAATGGCCCTCATTTATTTGATCCGATGTCTCTTTCACAACATTTCACCATGCAAAATATTTTTTTTTCTTAAAGCTCGCAAAAAAACTCTCTAATTTGGCAGAAAAGTAATTTCAAGAGTAATGAGTAATTTTCTCGAAATTACTGCCTGAAAGTAATTCATTACATTACTATATTACCAGCTTAAAAAGTAATTCATTACATTACTCATTGCCACGAGAAGTAATTTATTTACAGTAATTCCATTACAGTAATGTCATTACTGCCATCTCTGCCGAGGATTTAGCTTCCACCCCACTTCCTATTCTCTCCCGCGTCGAAGATTTCCTCTGTCCTGCCGGAATAAGGTAGACCAGGAGCGGAGGTGGGGAGAAAATGAGGACCGGCAACGCGCAGTGCGGATTGCAGAAATAAAAACTAGCGTATTTTCCGGACTGCAGTCCGCACCAACACGTGGCTTGCACGTGTTGATTGACAGTGACAGTGTGTTTGTTTTCGTTTTCCTTCTTTTGCCGGTCTTAGTGTTTTGTTTTCTTTTCATTAAATGTTTCACTTCGGCGTCAGCGCTCGTCCTGTGTTCTTCTATTTACTCTGTGATCGTCTTCTGCGCGCTGTGTTACAATTTTTGAAGATATGTACCAACTAGCCTGCATCGCCACCTTAATTCCCGCTAAATTTAGCGGGGAAATTCGCGGTTACGCTTTTTGAGGCTTACTTACTCTTAAAACCTCACCTATAAGCGTTTCACGTTAAAAAAAATATAGTGTTTTCCGCATACGGACATAGTCCGGAGAGTGCGCTGGTCGAGTTTGGGACGAACTTATGAAGCCATTTCCCCGACTCCGCTTATGAATATGAAGTCGGAGGGAACGATGCCCCAATTACATCATGTTCGTGTTCAAAATTATACACTACTTTATGAAACACAAATTGAGCATCCCTGGTTTTAATTCGTACTTACCACTTACCCCTACTATTGTTTACAGGTAGAGATATCGCAGTTAAAAATCTCTGGTCAACTAGATATAGCTCAGATATGCTACTCTGGGCACGCCATGCACATACAATCAAAAATTTGCATTAGTTGTTTTGAATGGGAACGGCTGCCGGTGCGAAGGTATAGCACAGGGTCATACGTATCTAATGCGCGAGGGCATACTTCATTTCATTTCACTGTACATTTGGCACGCCATCGAGCTTTAGGCTTTTGCAGATTAGCGCAACCTGGCCTGTCTCGTTAAGCCAGTTTCTCGAGGTACGGGACCTAGCACATTCGTCCACATCCACGCACAGACTCGCTCATTTGAACGCACTGACGTGAAATATGAACTTCAAAACAAAATCACCAGAAGACAAGACTGATCAGCGATAACAGCACGCGACACGCCACGATAACTGCACAAGGACGACGTCGTGCCCGGGTCGGGCCGGGATTATGGTCTCGGGTTCCGACAACCCCGCCTTACTAAATCTAAAATTTTAATTTTAGGAACTGCGGTAGAAGCTACCAGAGCCGTATATGGGGAGAGTTTGGTCAGTCTATGATCTCACCGCCGTAACGCTCTCCTCCCAAGTGAGCCAATCAGCACGCGGCGTAGAGCGAGAGGCATGAGCGCATGCGCGTGAACTCCCGGCTGCTCCCACCTGAGTGGGGAAGGCCGCCATCGTCGATCATTCTACCGCCGGAATGCGTGGGATCGGCATCTAAATCTCGATTATTGCCTTTTATATCGCTGGCTCTGGCAAGAAAACGACATTCTGTTATTCCTCGGTGGGTTGAAAAGCTAATAAATGAAGATTTTTCGGCGTATGGCCACAAACTTTTATTCAGGCGAAAAAGAAGTCGGCCCGTAGCAGACGACGCGTAGCCTCAGCAGTGCTCTTCTCCGACAGCGTTGCTAAAAAATGGCGGTCGTCTCCTCTCTGCTCCCTTTTTTCTCTCTCGCTCCTTCGGCGCTCTCCTTCCTTTCATTTACTTTTCTCCTCTCCGACGCCTTTGTCGCCACACCCACAGGCCAAACTCTCCAATATACGGCTCTGGAAACTACCTCATAACATCTTTGAACCTGCAAAAAGTAGCGGAAAAGTAGTGCAAGCTATAACTTATGGGGATGATAACGCAGAACATGCCCATGCAGGTTGATGATGGTGGCATGTAAATACAATAATTTATATAGCATATAGCAAGTTTCATCTTCCGCCATCAATTTTGCTCTGTAATTGATTGTTTGTCGCGAGCCAGTTTTTTTTTCTCCTATTTGCCATAATTCGAGTTTTTGACTTGATTAGAAGAAATTACAAATGATGTCAACTAAACTTTTCTGCATTTACCAATTTTCCCTTTCCCAAAAATGTACTTACATGTGAAATAAATTGCTGTATGTCGTTTAATTTGGTTGAATAAGTTCTGAAATTTCATTAACCACGCGTAAATTTTCATATTCACACGATCACTCACGATCACTTAAACACAGTTTCTGAGCGGAAATAATACAGGTCATCGTTGAAACCTCAGTAAAAAGGAACATCATTCTAGGCGGAGGCGTAGAGAAAAACTAACGCTTGTTGGTTAGTCATTAACTTCAAGGATCAACTTTCATCTATATTTATTCAATGTGAGAGAATTGTTGCATCGGCTTTTTAAGGTAGATAACTTGCCGCCTCAATGTGAGAGAATTGTTGCATCGGCTTTTTAAGGTAGATGACCTTGCCACCTCAATGTTAGAGAATTGTTGCACTGGCTTTTTAAGGTAGATGAACTTGCCGCCATCTACATTTCTTTACTGCCAGCTTCGCTCTCTTTAGGCGTCCGCAGTTATAGTCGTTTGACTGCTCGTTGACGAAAATGTGTGAAGTGAAGCAATGATAAGGACATATAGTAGGGGATAATGGCCTTGGCAGCCTAGCCACACAGCTTGGAATAGACATCGCAGAGACTAACCGGCCCGCCCAGAAGGCGTGAACGCCTTTCTGATCCCAACAAGTTGCGAATAATATCCAGCGCTTGGCCATAAAACGAATCCCTTAAAATCTGCCAAAGTCAGAGTTCATATTAAACTGCACTTACGGCAGCCGCGGCCAACCACGAGTGTCCATCGCCTAGTCGAATTCCGCCCTCTTTCCGATGTCTCGTATAACTTTGTCGTAAGCGTCGTTGGACCCCCGCGAGGACGTTTGAATTTTGACAGTTGCCGACAACAGATGCACTGCTTGATTGGATTCCTCGGGTTAAGCATACCTACACACTGTCTCTTGTATTCTATCTGACCACAATGAAAACAAATTAGCAATATTACACTGAACTTGCTGACCGTCAGGTATATTACCTAGGTTTTCTGCGTCTGGCACACGCGAATCTATTGTACGCCTCGATGGATACGTCGCACCGTGTAAGAGCATCTTATACAATCTTGTGCGCAACAAAGACGAGGACAAAAGCAGAGAAGAGGACACAACAAGGCGCAACTTTCAACTGAATTTTATTGAAAACGTGTTCCGGTATATATATAGTCTCAACCATCGTTACAATGACAACAAAAAAGACAAAAGTAAAGGAAAAAAAACACCATGACAGAGCATAACTGGGAAACAACACTATCTCGTTCTCAGGAAAAACAATTCCTTCTCCGATAATGCGATCGACGGCATAGCAACACACATGTCTCCTAAATAATCAATGTGCTCGGCTTCTATGATTTCGCGTGTTACCGCTGACTTGCATTTCCCAATTTTTACGCATTCATCCAACAGTGGGGTGCAACCGCATGTCCTGCAATGCAAGTCAAGAAAGCCACCGTTCTTTTTTTGCACGTTGTTGTTGTGCTCGCGAAGCCGATCATTTAGGCAGCGCCCCGTCTGCCCGACGTAGTGGCTGCCACAGGACAACGGAATGCGGTAAACCACGCCATCTGTACAGTCGACAAATATTTCCTGAGAACGAGATAGTGTTGTTTCCCAGTTATGCTCTGTCATGGTATTTTTTTTTTTCCTTTACTTTTGTCTTTTTTGTTGTCATTGTAACGATGGTTGAGACTATATATATACCGGAACACGTTTTCAATAAAATTCAGTTGAAAGTTGCGCCTTGTTGTGACCTCTTCTCTGCTTTTGTCCTCGTCTTTGTTGCGCACAAGATTGTATAAGATGTCAAACCAACTCGCCCAAACAACCACTCTTCGTGTAAGAGCAACCTACATTGTACTCTTTTTGTGTTTCAGAGATGTTTTTGGCGCGCGATCTCGGCCGAATCATTCAACGCTTCTTGAAAAAATGTTCCGCACTGATTCCGAAACTATCCTTCAAGGCTGATGACGGTATGATCAGAAGAGTAAGAATAACTTTTGGAAACACTATATTGTATTAAATAAAAAAAAAAAATTAAAAAAACGAGGCGCAAGTTTTATGGTTATTTCCTGCAGGAATCGCATCTAAATTTTTTTTTTTAGCTTATTGCTTTCTCGTTTTTGGTTCATATTATATTCGCAAACACCTGCAACGAACATCATTTTAGCGAAGAACCTTGTTTTCGTCCACATTTATAATTACTCGTGACAGGTTAAATATGCTGATGTACAACGGTTGTAAAACACACGTTAAGAATGCGACAAAGAAACATTAGGAAGCTCCAGTCACGACATAGAATCGCTCCACGAGCCAACCATGAAAGCCAGTAGCCGTGGTGAACATAGATAGAATCAGGAGAGCGTGTTGTTTAAACATCTTGGTATCCGAACGGAAAAGGAGTCAAGGGACGCACAAAAACACATCAGACACGGACATCGTTCAACTCGCAACAAGTGCAATATTCCCCCTTCCGGCGTCCGTAGCTCGCGTGGTCTTGGAAGGTCCCCTGCCGGCAAAAAGTTAATGGAGAAGGTACTGGCATAGAAAACAAGTGCGAAAAGAAACAAAAAAAAAACTTTTTAAAATGCGAAGAGAGAGAATTATACTCGATTGCACTGTCTTGCGGCAATACTTACACTGGGCAGACAGGGCGGTGCATAAACGATAGATTAAATTAACTCAAATATAAACTTTCAGTAACAGGAGAGCTTCCCTTAAAAGCGCACCTCAATAGCTGCGAGGGATGTAGGCCCATCTTTAACGAGGCGGCGGCTATCAAAAAGCACCCTGACCGGTTGGGACGAAAAATAGTCGAGGCCTTCCTCATACAGAGAAGCGACAACAATGTGGGTCACATATTCCTTTATTTTAGCAGAAAGAATGACGGGATCTTCGAGAAGGCGATAGGGAGCCTCTGTCGGGGAAGGGGGGGGGGGGGGGGGGGGGGAGGGCTGGGCACGTATGAGCATGGCCTTGAGCCGGCAGGGGAGCTGTCAAGATCACGCAGCTATGCACACCGGAAGAGAGAATAAACTCGTTGCGAGTTGAACGCTGTCCGTGTCTGGCGTGTTTTTGTGTGTATCCTTTTGCGTTAACATACCCAGAAGTTATGGCGAGCTATGCGACGTCAGCACGACGTGCACCTCGATACGGGACTATTTCACAATTGCGTAGGAACACTCACTGGAGTTCTGGGAGGAGCTTCTGGCGCATTCTTAACTTGTGTCTGAATATTAGTAAACCAGTAAAATGCTTCGTCGCTCGCAGTTGCGCGTTTCGCTTCTCGCTACGCGAAAGTAAAGTTGAATATGAACCGGTTTTGTTGATTCGCCAGAAAAAGAACTGGTTGAACCTTTAGTTCATGAATTGTGAGCGAAGCTTCATTGGACAAGTCGGCATTTGCTCAAGTAAACTACGCCAATTATTTTTTAAACATTTGTTTAATATTACTTTTAAGAAGCGGTTCAAAACAATCGAGCGTTGTTTATTCATTTGTCGGAAGCCATGATGCAGTGGTGGCTGTTCCAATCTGGTTGGATTTTTCTTCTCTTTAGGTCACAACTTTTTAATAACGCAACTTCTGAAAAAAAAATATTACTTGCTTTTTTGCTTTTGGTAAGCAAAGCGAGATAGAAAATATAACGAGTTCGACTTTTCTTCATCGTATATTTAACGTTTTGTAAATATTCATGTTTCAAAAACATTAAATAAATTCAAATAAAAAAGTAATTTCTTTTTATAGGGAAGAAACGTAGAGAAAAGTTGGCCATTATGTTAAGTTTTCAAGTTGTATAATTTGAAAACGTCCACCAAATTAGTTGGGCTCCGGCAATTAATATCTTCCATTAATAGTCTGCTATAGTGTTGAATCTATGAGTGATGCGAACAGGTGCCAGGATGTCACCTTGTTGCGTCGTTCCTTCTTAATCTAAATGGGTTATATTGTACACAACGTAATATTCCCGAAAACCTAATTTTTTTTCAAAATGTTGGTCTTAAAATTTAGCACTAACATCTCTTCACTTCATCATGTTTCCCCCTTCTAATCAATAAATAGCATGCTACTCCCAATAGTCAAATTTTGTGACAGGGAAATATTCTCGAAATTTAAACCTTATCAAATTCGCAAAATATTGATTACGCGAAAAAGAAAAAAAGAACTAATTTACAGTACACCTTCATTATAAGAGTTTCTCGCCGCACAAGCACTGTAAACATGTTATGATAGCCGAAATAAAAAGTTTTCTTATTTGAGTGATTTCAGATAAGATCGACAAAAAAGGTGGCTGGTCGACATTTTCAAATGAACTGATGTTTTTTATGCTGTCGTCTAGTGTCTGGTATAAACAAATCCAAACTTAATTTTGACCAGAAAACATATTTGGGGACAGGAAAAATCGTAAGGCATGAAGAGGTTGACAGTTGCATTGACGCGCACTGATGGAGGGGGCACGTTTGAGAGTAAATAACTAAAACGGTAAAATACTTTTCAGACGCAAACTATGAGTACAGCTTGCTTGTAATATAAAGTAATAATATTTATTTAAGTTTTATTCATTTTTCTAAAAATTGCCAAACATGCCTGCTCAAACAATGATTGGCACAAATTGGAAGCCTGGATCTCATGGAATAATTTAATCATTATCATATAACTTTGAGATAGTATTCTACTTATATATGGCTATTATTTGAAAAAAATAAATAAGGTATTTGAATGATACGATAGTCGGCATATATTTAGGCAAACACGGGAAAAAATCAAACAACGAAACATTCCGATGCAAATAATAATAAAAAAAAAAAACACTTTCGATTTTTCTTAAATTTAGGCACCCTGTTATACCCTATTTTGTCATTCATTTCTATTAAAACATGTTGCATTATTTTATTGAGAAAGAAGAAACAGCCCTCCAATATAGGGTCCTTTTTCAAAGCCCACAGTTAGCAGTGCCCTATACAAGAAGTGACCCTGAGTTCCAGTTTGATAAGACTAACACACATTTTGTTATATATTTTTATTCAAATGAAGCCATTGATAACTATAGAAATCGTTCACACACTAAAATTGAGGATAAACTACTGTGTACAAAGCGGTATCATATTATGGACTAGTGATCCGAGAAAAGATCCTGCAGCCATCGGCCACTGGGAACTTTGTTTACTTTTATTTTTCTACGGCACGATATGCTCATCTCTCTTTTCCGCTATCTCCTCTCTCTTCTATATATATCCCTGAATTATACGTGGAATAAAAACATATTCCAGCATTCCCTTTCTGCGTAATTAGTGTCCTGTGACTAGCAACAATTATTTCCTCGCGAAGATCACGATTATGGCGCAATAATTGACAGAAGTAGCAGACGATACTCATCGCTAGTTGTGGCAAAACGGCCGATACAATCTTTTTTCGCATTTCCCCACTCTTTTTCAAGGATGAAAGGGTTCGCTTCAACCAGCAAAATATGGCCGCCGATGCCTGTTTACTGAGCAGTCCTTCCTGTCGCCATCCCACTTACTGGCTTGGCGGGCGATAATATCAGGCGCAAAGAGGCACACCGACAGAGAGCAGAACCCCCAAATACTCCAGCCCCCCTAAATACAAAAGAGCGTAAACACTGTCGCCATGTTAACCTAGGAAAGGTTCACATGGCGACAGTGTTTACGTTTTAGGTAAGGAAAAGCATGGCGTGTGGTATGAGCCGGATCCTTGCACGAGGTGCAAGGTGAGCCCCGAGGACCTGTCTGCTGACCTAGAGTACTTCACGCGAGACGAGCTACAATGTTCGCGCCAAGGTCCCAACCAGAAGGAATTGATCTCTGTCATGCTCGACGGGGAGAAAACATCATGTTAACGTAGCAGCTTGGGCGAGTTGGTAGCTCATATTAACACACACTACAATGCACGATTGCAAACATACACTCACTCCTTACAAGCGAAAAAGAAAGCAAAATTTAAACGAACCGCGCTGTTCGTGCCAAAACGTTCGTGCCAAAGCGCTTTCTGACATGCTCAATCCGAGAGGACTTTCGTGTATACAAAGGCAATCTTCCTGATTCCGGCGTTGGGCTAACGAAATTTTATTCCTTGCGCCCTAGATGAGTCAAATGTATTTCACACCAGGAAGTGTGTGTTTATGTGCGCTACGCCAAATATTATATTTGTATTGCAGCTGTAGACAACGTCACAGGCTCAACATTCAACACTGGTGAAATGACTCAGCATTTTTGTGCGACCCACTAACAAGTCTGTGTCTTTAAGGAGACTGCGATCACTGCCCAAAAGGCCAGTCTCTTACATTTGAGGAACCTCATATCCCAGAGGATGAAGAGATTCTGCTTACAGCATAAAAGTCCGGCGACATTGTAAAAAAAAAAAAGACAATGGATTTAGAGATTTTTCTAAAAGTCGTTTAAGTAACGGTTGAAAGTTGAATATTTCACAACCATATCGAACAAAGGAAAGATAAAGCTATCTACGATGAAAAGCAGCTGCATGCAACGCGGGAGCATTGTCTTTCATTTTGACTTTTCTGAAAACTGGACCATCGTGCTTCCAGACAAAGTTAAAGCGTACCACTGCAGAAGAAAAATTACGATGTTTACATGTGTAGTGACGACCAGGAAATTTACAAACAGCGTTGATCATCAGTGAAGACCTGTGTGACGACGTCGCTCTCACGTGCTTGGCTCTACAAGAAGTGAAGAGTCGGTTGAAGGCAACGTTGCTGTATACTTGCACGTGACGTGCGTAAGTGACGGGGCCGCCAGTCATTTTAAGAATCGCTCCGAGCTTCACCAGTTTGCACAGAATGATTGCCCACAAGCCCAGTGGTTATTTTCTGCATCTGGACATGGGAAAATGCATGCGACGGAGTTGGCGGACTCGTGAAGCACCAGGCCACTCTGAACAACCTGAGAGAACGTTCAATAAACGCAATTCAGACGGCCAGGACAATGGTGAGCATTCCATTTGAGAAACTAGGTGCATCTTGCGTTTCTGAACGAAAATAAGCTTGTTCTGTATCGCAAAAAAAAAAAAAAAAGAGGGGCTGACGGTGCGCGTTTTTCCTGTCATTCAGTCTTGGCACGCATGGCGGCTGTGCAAGTCATCAACAGAAGGAACCTGTGACATATATGTAGCACGGTCAGTCGGATCTGGTTAGAGAAAACTTTATTAAATGGGTACATCGAGGAAAGCCTTAGTGTAAAGTGCGGAATTTATGCCTCAAGGACTGCTAATTTTGAATGCAGGGACATCTTATTTATCACAGTTTTCTTCGCGGGGTATTTAACCTACTATTTTACTTGGTTATAGCTTATATAACGTTTATCTGACCACCATATAAGAATCACGAAACGTTATCCTCGCGCAGGATAAAATATCGCGGCTTGCCACGATCCATTCGTTCACCGACAGTGTCGAAGCTCTTACAGTCCGGCGCGGGGCACCGCTCACCTGAAATGGTTTGTCCCCGGAGATACATAACTAACCTAAACAATTTCAGTGTTCTATCTTTAATTTTGTGTGTGAAAGTAAAGTTCTTTCTTTTATTTTAAATATGAATTATACCGGAAAGAAAAACTTCACACTGCATCGTCTTTTCTCGAATCACTAGTCTCTGATATGATACATCTTTATACGCTGTATGTAAAATGCTGTATATAGTTTCTGCTCACTTTTAGTGCGTGAGCGATTACTCTAGTTGTAAATAGCTTCATCTGAATAAAAATGTATGAAATATGTGTGTTAGTTTCCCTAAACCGGAACTCAGAGTCACTTCTCGTATAGGGCACTGCTAAGTGTAGGCTTTGGAAAAGGACCCTAATTTGGGAAGTTGTGTCTTCTTTCTCAATCAAATAATGCAACATGTTTTAATAGAAATGAATGCCGAAGTAGAGTATGACAGGGTAACCAAATTTGAAAAAAATCGAAGCCGGTGTTGTTGTTTTCTTTTGTATTAGCATGGGAGTTTTTCGCTGTTTCATTTTTTCCCCATGTTTGTCTAAATATGTCCCGACTATCGCAGCACTGAGATATCTTGTTTATTATTTAAGTAATTGTAATATATAATTAAAATACTACCTGCAAATTATATTATAATTATTAAATTATTTCATGAGATACAGGCCTCCAAATATTGCCGTTTGTCGTTCGAGCAGGAATGTTTAGCAATTTATAATAAAAATAAATAAAACTTAAATAAATATTATTACTTTGTATTACAAGCAAACTGCACTCATAGTTTGCATTAAAAAATATTAGAATTCTTCTAACTTTATCCTTTTAGTTATTCACTCTCAAACGTGCCCCCTCCAACAGTGCGCGTTAATGCGACTGTCCACCTCTTCATGCCTTACGACTTTTCCTGTCCTCAATTATTTTTTTCTAGTCAAAACTAAGTGTGGATTTGATTGTACCGGACACTACACAATGATATATAGAAACGTAAGTTTATTTAAACATGGCGACCAGCCACCCTTTGGTCGATCTTATCTGAAATCACCCATTTATCTACAAACATCTTGAGTGTTATTCTCCTCTCTTACCACTTGTATTTGGCGCCTCATATCTCATTCTGTGAGTATACCTATATAAAAATAGCATCTACACTCTCGACACTATGACCTAGTGGTCGTTCTAGGCCATGATTCAAATAAAGCATTATTATTATTATTATTATTATTATTATTATTATTATTTACACTTATTCTATATTTGAGGACCTTACAGAAAAAACTTAAACACATATTTCAAAGCAAATTAAACTGGAATAAAAAAAATAAAAGACGTTTACAATCCCCTGTAATTCCTAATTAGAGCGCAGCTCTAGAGGAGGAGGAGGGGAAGGCACGGAGAGGAGGGTATGCCCCTCCTCTTCATCCATACTCTTCACTCCTCCTCTCCTCCTCTCCTGGTCCCCTACCATTTAGCGGGGAAGTTTCGCTGAATTCCCCGCTAAATTTAGCGGGCAATTTTTCCCACTAAATTTAGCGGGGAATTTTTCCCGCTAAATCGGGCGGGTAATTCTTTCCGCTAATATTAGCAAAGAATTTTTTCCTCTGAATTTAGAGGGGAAATATTTCCGCTAAATTTAGCGCAGAAATTTACCACAATGCAAAGCGCGGTGACGTTACTAGTGACGTCACACCTGACATCACGTGTGACGTCATTATGGGAAACGTTCCACAATGCAACGCGGGGTGACGCCGACGCCGCTCAAGCCGGAAACGGGCGCCTAAGAGCTGCGCTCTAAAATCGAGTGCCAACACTCAGCAGGCTATCATGCAGGTTGGAGAATCAAATTGTGTAAGTGTGTTTATTGTAAGATGTCCACTGAACAATGTGTTCATCCGCTAGACGCAGCTTCCAAGATAAGAGATTGTGACCCAAGCCTTGCCCGAGTACACCTTTAAATTAGAGAATTTATTTATTTCTAATACGCGTACCAAAGGACCGTTAGATGGGTCCTATAAACCATTTATATATAAATATATTCACGTGTCTACATTATTGAATGTCGCATTCGGAGTAACTACCAAAAATACAACTGACGGCTTAATCTGTGGGACTTTTTTCCCATTAATATCTCGATTTCAGTTTTTCGACCACACTTGTTCTATAATGGAGTCCTGCGAACAAAGAATGGGCAAGACAGTTGAAGCGGTGAGTTGAAGTTTTGAACATCGATCACTAACATCTGAAATAGCTTCGAACTGTTCAAAGGTGCAGTTGGGATTACTCGACCGACAGCACCCATGTCGCGCCCATGTCGCGTCTCTGTCCCAACAAGCAACTTTCCACGACCCTCAAATATAGTCAGTGAACCTGTTCTAGACTCGTATGTTCCGCGTGAAAAATGATCGAGTATATACAACCTACTTTTTTTTTTTTACTTTTTTTCAACACGGAGCAAAGAACAAGGTAAAATGATGTAAAGAAAGACCATCGCACGCATGTGCGTCAGCGCTCGGTTAGAACTCGTATACTCACTGATTTAAGACGAGTCTCAGCCGAACGCTAATGCAGCACCCTTGTCCAAAAGTACAACAAATTAGTCAGGTGATTAGAAAGCGGGAGTTTAGTCTGCCAGAGTATGGCCACATTGTTACCCTCTCTAGATGAGCAATGTAGCCGCTGCAGTACGACTCCTGTCCTGGGGTCTTTAACGTACATCACGTGGTAGTGATACGCGACAGCACGCCGGTGTGATGCTCGTCCAGATCGAAACGGAAAAGGGCGAGAATCACACAGAATTAAAAAAAAGAAAAACGAGTTTAACGTTCGTGGTTGGACAGCGTAGGGTCGGTCTGCCTTGTAATGTGCGGCGAGGCTGGTTTACGCTGTAGATGAGAAATTTAGCTTGTTCTGTACACACTAGAATTAACATGCATCACTCAGGGTTGATAAAGCCAGGATTACTCGAGTTCAACTTGTGCTCAACGCTGGCCTCCGGTAAGTGAAGTAGTAAAGGAGGAAGTAAACTCGAAATCACCATAATTTGCATAGTCGAATGCTACGACAATGTGAAATACGGGACATTTTAAAGGTTTTGGTATTTCTTGCGAGACGCGGGACACGAGCCCTCAATGCGAGACGGTCCCGCGAGTCGCGGGACGGGTTGTCACCCTAACGCACACACACACACATGTACACACACTCACGCACACACACACACACGCACACACGTACACACACACGCACACAAACACACGAGCTCACTCACCAAAAGAAAAAAAAAAGATTTTCGGTGGGCATTCCGCTCAATTTCCCGATCTCCAAACGAACCGCAGCGAGAAGGACGAGCCATCCCAGCCATAATTTGTACTTCACAGCGCATAAACGTCTCACAATAGCAAGCACTCACTCGAGCACAGTCCGAAAAACATACACACAGCACTGACTAACAACTCTTTGTATTTGTGTTCGTTTTCGTCTACATCGTATTAAAACAAAGTCTGGAAATTGTTTTGTCATGTTTTCTTCTGCTATTAAAACGAATTTGTAAAATAGTCCGCGGTTATCATTTTAAGGTTAGATAAGGCGATTCTTTTGCCGATAAGGTGAAAGATGGGCTGCTCACACATCCATCGTCAAGTCTGGAATATGCTTTGCTTCAAGAATCTCTCTTGTTAGCTGGTTGTTGCTTCGGTCAAGCACGGTACAGCAACGTAGTTTTGCCGCACACCCGCAATTCCAGCAGTGCAGACCTAAATGTTCTGAGTTGGCTCTTGTGATGCTATTCCGGTGTTCGCGAAGTCGATCATTCAGGCACCGTCCAGTCTGGCCGATGTAGCGTTTCCCACAGGAGAGAGGAATGGAGTACACGAACTTTTCGGTGCACTGTACAAAGCTGGTTTTGTGCTTCTTAGAGCAGCTCTATGATGGGCTCGAAGAAGCGTTCACTTTCTTGCACAAGCTGGAGAGCTTGTTCGGAGCTGAGAATATCACCTCAACATTGACTTTTTTAGTTACTTTTTTTCAGTCCGCGGGAGAAGTTGTGAATATAAGGCACAACAATGGGCCACGTAGACCTCTCTTAATGAAGGTTGAGTGACCTCCCGTCCTTTTATATGTTTCAGGAGGTGTTCTGCAGATGACGTTAATTGGACACTGTGGTATCCTGCTGCTGTTAACCGAGAGATTAGCGCATCGAAGCTTGTTTTGATCAAATGTTTCCATGACTTGTTAAGAGAGTTTTTGAGACAGATTCACGATGCCTCTTTTGACCAGTTTTGAATGAGCGGAGTTGAAGTGAAGTTGCGGCTTTTTACGCCGCGGCTCATATGACCAGCATACGTGATCACTCGATAAAAATATCATTAAATCCGGGAATCTGATCGATTTCATTACTGAAAGCTCGTGGGTAAGCTCCAACGGATTCATGCAGCCTTTGAATATAGATAGAACGTCGGCCAACGTCGTTGGGAACTTGCAGGTCTCCACTGCTAGGAAGATCAAATAATCATCTGCGTATCTAAATATTTTCGCTATGTTTGAGGTGTCTAAGCTTCATTGCAATAATCTATCGTGGTAGGCAAGATAAAGGTCGCTGAGTATCGGGGCGATACACGACCCTATGCATACGCCCTTTTTTTTGCAGGTATGTTTTTCCTTCCCACGTGGCAAAAGCGGTGCAAATACAGGGAAATTAAGTCGATGAACTTGTCTTGGGCGATACCCGCGGTGTTCTGGAAGGCGATGGTACCAAAGTAGTCTATGTTCTCTTCAATGCACTGTAAAAGACGGTCTTGTGGCAGCGAGTAGTAGAGGTTTTTGACGTCGATTGAAAACGCGTTCAGGTTGTTGTCACCATTCTCTATTAAGAACCTTTTTGCTTCGTTTGAGCTCCTAATTAAATAAGGAGCGTCAATCGTGAGAAGGGTTAGCCTTTCTTGGAGTATGCGACCGACTTCTGCCAGGTTCCTTTTTCCGAAACAATAACTTTGAGTGGGCATTCGGTTTTATGTGTTTTTGCACTGAAAAATAATTCCAGGCTTAAACGTTTGCTGCGGTCTATGTAGAAGCAAAGCGTTTTAATTCCAGCGACTGACACAGTTTTTTAGTTTCACTCTTGATCTTATTTAAAGAGACGTCGTTACGGTGTTGGAAGACGGACTCAATTGCCTGAAAGAGCTTTTGTTCCAAAATATCGAGGTGCATCAGCACAAAGCCCCCATCTTTATCCGCTGGCATTAGAGACAATCAGTGCTCTTTAAGGTAGGCACCACCTTCTTTGTTGGTAGGGGTGAAGCCGGCAATTTTCGTCGCAAAAGTATGTCAACTCCTTCAGAGGTGACGCGATCAGATTCAGATTCTGGAGCTAGGTGGGACACTTGCCTGACCATCGACAGTAACACTGGTGCCGACTTTTTTGGTTGTACAGCGAACTTGGGACGAAGGCTGAAGACGCGCTCCACCAAATGTATGTCTCCGATAGTGTGCACAAGGTTACTCGGTGCCCACACTTTTTTTGGTGTTAAGTTACGGAGGTGCCGTAAGGTGAGACGCCATAAGTGTTCTGTCAATCTATTTATTGGGTACGAGTACCCACGCCATGTGCGTCCACTGTGCGTCCACGAGTTTTTAGGCCCACAGGTGGGCGTAAAGGCTTGTCCTGGTTTGTCTGTGCCACTCAAACTGAAGGATCTTGCATATTCTTCTGCCGTGAGCGGCGGAAGAGGCGAAGCCACCGAAAACGGGTTTGACTTTAGGCGGAACCAGTTTAACTCGAATGCAGTATCCGTGTGTCCGCGCTTGGCAGACGCAAATGGTGATCCAGGTGACCAGGAAGCTTGGGTTCAGGGGAAGACATGGACTGGGGCCAGATGTACTAGAAATAAAGCTTGTTAACACCGCAGCTTGAGCTAGGTGGTTTTCCATAATTTGTACTTCACAGCGCATAAACGTCTCGCTATAGCAAGCACTCACTCAAGCACAGAAAAACATACACACGGCGCTGACTCACAACTCTTTATATTTGTCTTTGTTTTCGTCTACATCGTATTAAAACAAAGTCCCGAAATTGTTTTGTCATTTTTTTCTTCTTCTATTAAAACGAATTTGTAAAATAGTCCGCGGTTATCACCCTAAGGTTGTGAGTTGTGAGTCAGCGCTGTGTGTCTGTCTGTGCTTGAATGAGTGCTTGCTACTGTGAGACGTTTATGCGCTGTGAAGTACAAATTATGGGAAACCAACTAGCCTAAGCTGCGGTGTTACCCCCCCCCTCCTAGCCAATCCAGTACTACTCCAGTTGGGCGGAGCGACACGCGGAGACTCCGAGTCACATGCCACTCTCCCAGCGCTGGACTGGCTAAGACGCTTCCAGCATCCACTAAGGTTCATTTAGGGTGAAACGGAGTAAAGCAGCATCCAGATCCAGACTTCCAGCCTCGAGGCTGCCCCCGGGCTCCACACTGTCCAGACGTGTTAAGAGAACAAACCCGCTTCTCTCGGGCGAGGCGAGAGGGGGAGAAAGCAAAGGCGCGGTGAGAAATAGAAAGAAGGATGATGCGTATGCGTGGGGAAAAGCGGGAAGGGCCTTCTACTAGAACGAAGGCGCCGTTTGTGCCTTGGCTTAAAGGCGTAAAGAAAAAAACGATGATGTTTGTGGTGTATCTCTGGAAAGAGATTGGAGCAGCCTGTTGCCATGCGTCGCAGCAAGATTAAAAATGGTTCGCTTGAAATTAAAACTAAACAGAACAAGGTTTTATTTTTTTTTCAGTAGCAAAGCAAGAAAAGTAAAAAAATGGGCATTCATATACGGGAAACGGTAATTTAGGCTCAAACATCAAAATGGGTATTAAAAACCACTATAATCCCACTCTTAAAACACTTCTTAACTAATGATTCGTGCTCATATATAGAAAAGGCACGATAGGGACCAAACGAACAATTTAGGCTTTTGCCTAAAGATCCGGCCACACAATTGTGTGACCAGCCCCTTGTTAGGGGCTGGCCGCAAAATTCCCAGGATTAGTTTATGAGCAAAGAAGTCATTGTGCAGGCTTATGCGCCATTAGGGCAGAAATTATTTGCGAAAAACGAGCAGAGATTCGGGGATTCGCAGTATCTGTTCTGAAAATCGCGCATAAATCGGTTAAAAACCGAGTCACTCTCAACGCTAACCGCTATGATCGCGAATACCTTTTTTTTTTATTCCCAGATTTTTTATCTGTGCAGGGAGTTGTGACTATTATTAATCGCTTCTTTTTAGATGATCTTGAGATGCGCCATGCCAGAAGGATTTCAACAATGGGTAAGAACTTCCTTATTAATGTTACAAAGAATGTTATTCCAGCAAATAAAAATAATTTAAGAGACGTCATTGGAAATGAAGAAATGGTCCTTCCCGGATTAGTTTATTGGCCGCGGCGCGTGACGTGGCGTGAGTGTAACATGATTATCAGCGAGCTCATTTTGTGAAATTTATTCTACTCACGTTTTCCTTTAATATTAATCTTTGCCCGCGCATCCAAGGCGAAATGTGTGTTTCGTCGTCAGAAGTCGAAATACGAAAGGAGCTGTTATATGTAAGAAAATAAATTTCTGCTTTGGGCTTTTTACTGAAGGATTTCAGATGTGGAGGGCTAGCCACGCCAAAACTACACAAGCAAGGGAAGTCCCGCTCAGAGGAAACACCGCCTGTAGTCAGTGACAGACGGCAGTCGTTAACGGGCAAAGGGGCCAGTATACGCTCCGCCTTCGGCACGAGTTTTCTGCCTTCGGTAACACTTTGACGAGCTCGCAGTCAAAGGGCAGTGGAATATCACAAAGTCTGGCAGTTCGACGACGGAGCCATAGAGTGCCCGGTCGCAGACTTGGAGCGCGAGGATCTGGTAGCACAGAGCATCAAAGAGCCATTTCTCGCAGAACCTGGACGTGAGCGCACAGCTTTTGCAGCGGTGGGGACCCGAAACACACTTGTTCGCTCGGGAGAAGTGTGTTTCGGCGTCTCGCCGCAGCGGGCAACCAGTCATGTGGCTCTCCTTTTATCCGTTGCCTGCCGTTCCACCTTATCCACTTAGGCGGCCGCTTCTCGTGGCGATCTGCCAGGCTTTGTAAGTATATAGGAGGGCTATAGCGGTGGAGGCTATAGCGGGCTAAGTTCGTCTGCTTTTTGTGCAGGGGTTGCGGTGACGTCGGAAAGCCGAGCTCTGATTAGCCCTGATTGTAAGGATACTGGGTAGACTTCAAGGCAGCTAGCCATGCGGTCTACCTCGTATCCTTTGAGTCAGAGCCCATTTGAGATCGGCGTTCAGATGTCACCGCAACAGCTGCGCAAGAAGCAGACGGACTTGCTGTCCGCATTTGGTTGTTGGGCTCTTTTTCGTGTACCTGGCCTCCAGCAAGCTCACGATTCTTTCCCCCTTGCTTTTGCTGGGCCTGCACGCTTGAGGGTCATCGGGTGCGGAATCGTCGTCGAAGGAAGGAAGCTCGCGCTCGAGGAGTGGCAACTGAGACTCCCTCTTGCCTTTCTCGTCACGTCAGTGATTGGAAAATAATTGAGTAGAAGCTCTGACTCTAGTATGCGCCGGTTGCTTTTCGTCGGGATTCAGCTGTGGTTTCAAAGGAAAAAAACCTCGTACGGGAGTGACGAAAATAATCCCCCGAGAAGGGAAACAAAAGGGGCAAAGGACGAACACGAATCTCCAAACACAGCTATGTGACTGGCGCGAGACCGAAAAAATCCGCCTGGTCCGGGTATGGAACCCGGGACCTCTCCATATCCAGTGGAGCGCTCTACCAACTGAGCTAACCAGGGGTTAGACGTCAGTACAGCAAACAGCTTTTATCAGCTGCCACCACCAACAAGAGTAAAGGGCTTGCATCTTAAGGTTATGATTATAATGCAATTAAATGGAAAGGTGCAAGCGACCGAAAAAACCGCAAAGGCGTATTTTTCGGTTGTGCAGCAGTCACCTGGCGATGTTTGGAGATTTGTGTTTGTCCTTTGTTTCTCTTGCACCAGGGATTCTTTTCGTCATTCTTGTCCAGCTCGCATGCACCTTTGCATTTAATTGCATTATAATCATAACCTTAAAATGCAAGCCTTTCACCCTTGTTGGTGTTTGACTGGTGGCAGTTAATAAAACCTGTTTACTCAACTGTCGTCTAACCCCTAGTTAGCACAGTTAGAACAGCGCTGCAGTGGAAATTGAGAGGTCCCGGGTTCGATACCCGAGCCAGTCGGATGTTTTCGGTCGCGCACCAGTCACATAGCTGTGTGTGGAGATTTGTGTTTGTCCTTTGTCCCTCTTGTTCGCCTTCTCCAGGCATTATTTTCGTTGTGAGGGATAGCGCGGCACCGACGGTGGCGCCTCAAGTGGCAAAGCGCGGAAAGTGAGCCAGAGCGAGGGGACTTCCGCGGATGCGCGGGAGAACGGGTGCGAAGAGGAAGAAACGGGAGGGAAAGCAAGCGTACGCGGTACTGGCTGCAGGTGACTCGGAGGGCTCTCGAACGGTTTCGGAAGCGGCGTTATGTGGATCGGGGCAGTATAACTTAGACAGAATAAACCAGTGTTATATTGGACCAGAGTACATAACAAGTCGGGGCTCGTCCGTTGCTTAAAATGAATCACCGTCGGTGTTCATGCGACAGGAGCTTCTTCTGACACTGCTGCAAGAAACATACGGGACACCGCTACAGCGGGAGAAGATGGCGGCCCACGTTCGTGAGCTCTTGTTTGTTACTCCGATACGAGACGCGGAAGAGGAAGCGCCGCCCTTCATCGCGGCGGCTGTCACTGAGGCCAGCAGAAAGGATGACCAGGACTCGGCGCGCCCGCGGCTGGTCCCCGTTCAGCCCCCGAAGTTCATCGGTATCGGAGACTTGCAGTCACCAGATGAGTTCCTGGACCACCTGGAGAACGTTTGCCTCGTTCATGGCGTGAAACTCGGGGGCCGGCTCAGCCGGGTCGGGTCGTAGCTGCAGTCCTCCAGAGAAGCGCGAAACTGTGGTTTCGGTTCACAGAGGATTTCGCCGACTGGTCAACGTTTGCTACCGCTTCTCGAAGGGAATTCGCACCCGTCGACGAAAAGGAACGCCTAAAAGAAGAACTGAGGCTCCGAACTCTTCCCAACCGGAGGAGAACCTGAAACAGTTCGTTTATGTTTTAACCTCGTACCATAAGAAGATCGGCGGTACTGTGACTGAGGTCGAAAAAGTCGAGGGGGTGTTGGAGCAAATGCACCCTCAGTTTCAAGACTTCTGCGCAGGCAAGACCTTCGCGAGCCTGAAAAAGCTCGCGTAGGCAGCGGATGGGTTAATGGAAAGAGTATGGCGGCGGGTGCAGTATGTTCCCCCGCCACAGCCCACCAACCAATTTGCGCGGGACCTGGCCTTCTACAGCAAGAGTGCAACGACTCATGCACCTGCTCAAAGTGCTGCGGTGGCAGCGGCACCAGTGCCACCACCAGTTGCCAGCCAGGCCTGGCCCCTGCATCCGGCATCCCTCCAGCCATCATACTATCGAAACCAGCTGAGTGCAGTGGGAGAAGTGAGAATGCTCGGCCAGACTGGCCTGCACAGTAGTTTTCACCAGCACCCAGCAACCAACCAGCCACCACAGTCCCAGTGCCAGCTTTGTGGTGGCATCGGACATATACAACGACAATGCCCCACAGCTAGACGCCTGGGCTCACCACGCTGTTTCAAGTGTGGCCAGCTGGGCCACATGCAAGAGAGGTGCCAGGGAAGCTCTAGGCAGTAGAGGCCACTCCGGCGGGCCAAAACGGTACCATAGTGCGGGTAGCTGCAACAGCCGGCGGCAAGGAGCCAGTGTTAGAGCTTCGTATTGGGAAATTCACAATCAAGGCGCTTTTGGACACGGGGTCGAGCGTCGGCTAGGTGGGAGATGAAGCAATGGAGGCAGCCATAGCTACTGGTGTGGGCGTCAAGGAGGAACGACGAGGCCTACGTCTCGCAGCGGGCTGGTCCCAGATTACGCGTTCAACTAGGTGCAGAATACACTGGGCCGGAGGATCCAGGAAGCAGCGATTCCTGCATATGCCAGGCCTCTGTGGAGACATTGGACTCTAGGGATTTTCTGGATGCCACTGGCATCTCGGTTCATGTGTCCCTGAACTCCTGGACTCTGGACAATTAACCACAAACCCTAACCCCTTTGTCCGGGACGTTGGCTCGAGGGCGCCAGCTGGTCCCGGCTGCTTGTGGAGGTGTACAGCCTGCAGGAGTTGCGAGCTGGGCCATTCTTGTCCAGCTCGCTTGCATAATTGCATTTAATTGCAATATATTCATAGCCTTAAAATGCAAGCTTTTGACCCTTGTTGGTGTGAGACTGGTGGCAGCTGATAAAACCTGTTTACTCTACTGACGTTTAACTCCTGGTCAGCTCAGTTGGTAGAGCGATCCACTGAAAATGAAGAGGTTCCGGGTTCGATACCCGGACCAGGCGGATTTTTTCGGTTGCGCACAAGTCATCTAGCTGTGTTTCAAGAATTGTGTTTGTCCTTTGTCCCTCTTGTTCCCCTTCCCCAGGGATTATTTTCGCAATTCTTGTCCAGCTCGCTTGCACCCCTGCATTTACTTGCATTGTAATCGTAACCTTAAAATGCAAGCCTTTACCCTTGTTGGTGTTAGACTGGTGGCAGCTGATAAAACCTGTTTACTTTACTGACGTCTAAGCCTGGTTAGCTCAGTTGGTAGAGCGCTCCACTGGAAATGAAGAAGCCCGGATTCGATACCCGGAGCAGTCGGATTTTTTTGGTCGCGCACAAGTCATCTAGCTGTGTTTCAAGAATTGTGTTTGTCCTTGGTCCCTCTTATTCCCCTTCTCCAGTGATTATTCTCGTCGTTCTTGTCCAAGTCGCATGCACCTTTGTACTGAATTGCATTATAATCATACGGGAGGCTGGCTATCTACTCAATTCTTAACCTGTTGCCTATAGTAGGATGATCTACTGAATTCTTACCCTGTTATTTGATTTTTTTTTTTAAAGCAAAAATGTTTTTTTTTTTTTTTAACGGATTTCTTCCTTGTCCCAAACTTTTATCGGTTCGGCCGTCCGTTCGTGCATTTCCCACAAACTTTAGCAGGCAATTCACGTCACCTCACCTATGTGCCATTTTAGCGCCCCCCCCCCCCCCCTACTAAATTTAGGGGCCAACTTCACGTAACGAGTCCAATGCACCATTCAGTTCCCTGGCTAAATTTAGCGGGCAAATTGACGTTACGTGATCCGACGCCAGAAATTTAGTTTGCACCTAATTATGGCTCAGAAAGTACTGTCACGTGAGCTATGCACCGTCAGTTTTCATGCAAAATTGAGGGGATGAAATTGTTAAAAATATACGTTTCTTTTTCGTCCCCGAAACGATGGTTTACTGTCTTTTAAACAAAATTTTAACGATCGCTTTTTAAATCCCGCATTTTTTTTTTTTGCATTTGAAGCAAAAAGTCTTTTTGCACTTTGAAGCAAAAAGTCCCTGCCAATATTTTTATGAAAACGCCATTAGACTATACGATAGTGCGAGCCTTGTTCGAGAATAAGACCGTAGTCCCAGATTTTCTACGTCAACCACCCGATACCAGTACGAGGTCGAACGCAAGCGCTGCTTTAATGTTTGGCTGAAATTCGAGTTCTTTCTGATTGAAGACAAGTGCCGGTCGAACGTGGGCCTCGCATTCCACGACGCAGAACGCCCAGGTCTTGTTACGATGAGGTTTTTATTGATAAAAAAAAAAACACCGGCGGGCTAGAAAGATAGGCAGAATGACGATTCAAAGGTAATCTGAAAGCTTGTGTGAAGGATGAGTGGACGGTCGTGGCAAGTGACGTCAGAAGAGGGGACCCGATTTGGGCATTATAGGCGCACCGTCTAACGAAAACGAGCACAGCAGAATCCAGCACTTCACTAGCGAATACATTTTACTCCTCAAAGATTCCATGGCCTCGAAGCCGACAGCCCTTGCGTAGTTGGAACGGCTGGACGCGCGCAGCCATGGGAGGCGTGACTGACGCCATATATTGCCGTGAGCAGCCTTCTCCCTTGTCCTCTCCCTTGGCGCAGCACGGAAGCGCGACGGCGTGGACAGTGCAATGGGCATACTGTCTCTCGGACGCGGACTGACCACGCAGCTAGGCGCGCTGTTCAATGCAAATGAACGGAGTAGAATACAGTCTTCCCAGACAAGTATTTGCCGCCACCTTTTTTTTTAATTTCGTTCTCCCCAGTGTAACATTGTAGATTCTGCGGGAATTAGGAGTAGCATACACTACGTTCCCATAATCCATTGCGCGTCCAGCGCGCGACCTTTTGAGATTTTTACAAATTGTCAATAGATCTCCAGCTTTTTTCACACGAGTCACTAAAGAACAGGGCTTACGAATAAAAACCATGCTCTTGCGTTGTTATCTATTAGTGTGGTTGAAATTGTGCAATGTTAGTGGGTCGAAGTCGTTCGCCTACACGGATGTGAGCAAGGCTGCCGGTTCTTTTTTTATTTTTATTTTTTTTTGTTACAGGTTGAGATGAATCCCCAGCTTACACCAAAGGACGTTGAAGTACTCCAGAGATTTTTCGTAAGTGTCACGGCTATGGTATCAAAACCATCGGTAAAGCATTGACCTAAATCCCAGGATTTCAGGAAAATTATTTAACACCGCCAGACTTGGGAGGAACCCGAACTTGGTCCTCCCGCGAATTTAATCGATTGCAGCGCAAATTTGTTTGTACGACCAGCTTTTTCTAATTTATTTAAACTGTTTTTTAAGGATATCTTTTTGATAATAGCACGACATATATGATTGTATGGAGTACAACGCAATATGCCTAGCATGGGAGAACGTAATGTTAAACATCTTACACGTCAAATATTTCAAGGTACTATACTAATAACCAAAAACTATACAGAGGTCTTCGCCACTTTTTTTTTTTTGTATCAATTCATACAGCCCAATAACTTGTCTCTGGAAAATGTTTTGATCCGGCGACGGTGAAAAAATTAGCACAACCGTCAAGATCATGACGATTTGCAGTCATAGCCGTCGTACATCACCGATATTAAGCCAGTAATTATTTATTTCTTTATTGCATTACTTTCGAGGCCCATAGGAAACTAGAGAAGGAAATGGAAAGTATACAAAAATACAAAAAAAAATTGGCAAATACATCAAAGGAAAAACAAATGTAATTTGCAAGGAAAAACTATAACTTTTAATAGCGAATTTCAACACTGATGCGTTGTTGATTGTGGTGATTAAGGTGGGCAAGTGGTTTTATTCAGCACTGTTATTTTATATTTATGAGTAAAAAATGAAAGCCGTGTACAACTCCCTGTAACACCGAATAAGAGCACAGCTCTTGAGGAGGAGTAGGGAAGGGTGCTGAGGGGGAGGGGGGGAGGGGTCACGTGACCTCAAGGGAAGGGGGGGGGGGTTATGTGACCTCGGGGGGGGGGGGGGGGGGTTGCGGTTACGCCGATGGCAACGGCTACGCCGCTCAAGCCGGAAACGGGCGACTAAGAGCTGCGCTCTAAGACATGTTAGTGCGACATTGAGGGACATCTCCTTTATGGTGGTAATTTGTACGTGACGAGAGTTGTGATGGCTGATAATATTGGTAAAATGTGTGAAAGAAAAATGGTCATTCCACTTTTCCACGTAGGACAAGATAAGCGCCATTTAATATAGTTTTCATTGAGGACACACTTTATAAACGAGAGTCGTTAGAATAAATGAAACGCGTACTGCTATTGTGTACTGCTTCCAGGTAATTAACTAAAAACTCAAGGTCTGGATTATACACTGATTATATATATTCAAGTTCAGTTTGAACTAACGGTTTGTAGAGTAAAGGGTTTAAAGATAAAGACGCCATAGAGAAGTTACGATGGAAATATCCAGCATTTGAGTTGCGTTATTAATTACATAATTGATGTGTGTCTCCCAGAAAGGTTGGACAGTTAAATTAATGCCTAGGTACTTACAAGATGTAACAACCTCTAGGGCAGAACCTGCAATGTGGTACGTGCCAACGTTACACCTGAATGTATGCCCCGAAATTCGCATTCATCTAACAGGAATTAGCCATGAGCTACACCAATTAGAAACTTTGTTTGGCTCACATTGAAGTAAGGAGGTATGTGCACCAGAGGAGATAACACAAAAAAACGACATAATCCTCGGCAAAAAAAACAAAACTAAATTGATAAGGTGATAGAGTTAGGTAGATCATTTGTGTATAAGAGAAATAGCAGGGGGCAAAGAACGGAGGCCTGAGTCGCACCAGAGTTAACCGGACAAGTGAGAATTTGAAATCGTTAGCTGTTACAAATTGTGTTCTGTTACATAAAAAGTGCTCGATCCAACAGAGATTTTCCGGTCAATGTCTAATTTGCTTAACTTCGAAGAGACGCGTTCTTCAAGAATTATCGCGACCCTTGAACAGACATAGAAAGTATGTGGGATGCACGAGATAACACCTTTGACAAACTTCTACAGGGCAGAAGTTTCAAAGAAAATAGTCGTCGCTATATTAAGATAGTCAGTCGGTCGAGTTGGTACTGATTCAACATGGTTGTAGCGCGTTCGACGTTGAGGACGGAAGAGATGTTGCGGCCGACTCCGAGCTTAGGTGAAAGCGGTCTGTTAATTCCCTCGTGTCGCCAGGCTCGTATCGACGAGTGACGTTGTCGTCTTTTAACGGCGGCCTGGCAGGCCGATGGACCACCACAATGGTTTAATGTTGTGGACAAAAAGATAGGGTTTGAGCAGAGAAACACGTGCGGTGTTCACTTGCCTGTCGTATTCGTATTTATCTCCTCTGCCCCTGCCCTTTGTGAGTAACTTTAGCCACGTTTAAGCCGTAGCTAGGGCGGAAAATTACACGACGGTGACTGTTTTTTTTTGTTTTTCTTTCGGTTTTAATTGATTTTGCATTTTACTTGCCGGTAGATTTTTATTGGTGTTCTTTGGTTAAAACCGGAAATTGCACATCCTACTTATCTTTTGGCGTCCGTACTACACAACCCCGCACTAAGCGCTAAGGGGACCACAATGAGCTAAATAATACCTAGCTCCTTAAAAATGAGGTACAGTGGTGAGCACCCCAAGCCAAAGGAAACGCATTCGCGAATAATTGATATTCTTTCCTGCTCTTGCTAGTTTATATGTTTGTGCCTAGGACGCCACACGTTTTAAAACAAAAGAGTCAGAAGAGATGTAAAACTTGAGAAAAAAAATTAAACTTAGACATAATGCTTTAGAATATATCTGTGCGCTCAGATCAAAACCAGAAAGGCTATCCGAAAGAAAGCAAGTGTCGAAGTTTACAAACAATTATCCTTCTTCAATTTCAGATGTGTTCCCTAGAAGGCGTACCCAACGTTGAAGTAATTAAACATGTCATAACCTTCGGACGAAAAGTGGCTGGGTAGCCGCATGATTAGATGAGCAAATAAACAAGTTCACACCACAAACAGTCCGTGTCTTCACTGAGCCTTTTCCGTTTCTTCGCACTGTCCGAAGCGTTGTTTTCGCAATTGTGAATCCCCGGTTTATAGGATAATCCTCGAAAGTGCCTGAAGGTGTTGAAAGAAGAAGAGCGGGGGGAGGGGGGGGGGGGGGGGGGGAGGGGAGAGATAGAATGACGACTTTCGCGTATTGGAGAGGTGCAATAAGCAGAAACTAAGGGCAGTATAATGTTTCATATTCTTTATTTGCGAAAGATTAGAGCCACTCCAGTGACTTCCCGTTCGCCTCATCGGAGCGCTAAGCAAAGGCGTCGGGCACGGTCGAATGGTCCGGTGTTCCCTTCCCGTTGCGCCACTTGGGAAGTCTCGTTAATTATGATTAATTATGCATAATTATGCGTAGGGTTCTGTGTTTATGGTAAATACCAATAAACCCTGAAAATGAACCATCAAGCAGGATTTATCAAAATCGGGGTAAACCATAAGACCAAGAACGAAAGCTGTCCTCGAAGATAAACAAGCCTAAGCTTTACGGAAAACACTTTGTGCGTGTGTGCGTGTATGTGTGCGTGCGTGCGTGCTTGTGCGCGCGTGTGCGTGCGTGCGTGCGTGCGTGCGTGCGTGCGTGTGTGCGTGCGTGTGTGCGTGTATGTGTGTGAGTGTGTGCCTGTGTGTTTTATTTTCGTTTACCCTGCCTGTACACAGCTCCCAATGCACTGTTCGGGAACCTTCTTCATGCAACCGCACATCCTGTCTCCTTTATTTTTCTTTTCGGTACCGGGACGTTCTTCAAGTAATCGGGTCACAATAAGTTACCTGGAAGTTAAATATTGTTATGCCCGTGTCTATATTTTCGTCAATATAAGTGCCGATAAACCTTTCGTTTTTATCCAAAACCAAAGCTTGTTACTGAAAAACATCGAAGTTATGGTAAACGCCGAGAAAACACCCCCGAATTCGTTGAAAAAAGTAAAGCCTCGAAAACACGGAACCATAATTATGATTGCGTGTTCTTATCGTCGAAGCTTAGTCAAAGGCCTCGTTCGGTCGGGTTCCGTCCTCAATTTCTAATGGCCCCATTCTCATACCCATAATATTCTCTCTTTCTTTGTAAATTCATCCGTGCCGTGGTCTTCAACAACACTATTCTCCTTTTTGCAGAAGACCTCTTCGCGTGGTCTGTGTAAATGCTCATTTTGGTGGCGGCGCCACATTCACGTTTCATGGTTATAAAAGACCTTAGAAAAGAACAATACACTGTTCCTCACCGGTAATGGAGCAGCGTTACTCCAGATGCTTCGGCAGCAACACAGCAATAGTGATCATGAGCCCCGAGGTGCCGTTCCCATTGCTGCCTGCTCCCGGATGACCTGCTATTCCGTGGAGGCAGCGAAAACGTGTGTTTAACAATTACTTGCTTGCTACAGGAGGTGACATCCACGGACCTGCTCGGCAAAAGGCCCTACTGCTACACTGCCTAGGGGAGGGAGGCCAACGAATCTTCTACATCTATTCCCTATTGAAAATCGCTTTGATGGGACTTCAGGATTTTTAAATGGTGTGAAAGGGACTTCAGGAATTTCTGAGATGTTTGAAGGGGGCACCGATATTTCCTGGGGGGTTCGCTGACCCCGCAAGAGGCTCTCCTGAAATGTCTGAAGTGCCCTTTACAATGCCTTGAAATGTCTGGAAGCCTCTCGAGAACTTTTTTAGTGGGGTCGGGAAAACCTTCAGGCTTCTTGGGATGTCTGTGGGGCCACGGCTTAGATGAAGAAAACACAATTCGCGGAATTAGAACACAGCTGCTTATTGTTCGCGACGGGGTAAAAAAATAAGTATTTGGAGAATGCCGATAGTATGTGTGTACGGTCAAATTTTTATTACTGCTCGTCTATCGAACACGAGTAGGCTCCTGGACCCGTCCGTCACTGCCCGGGTGTTCGGTCGCAAGGGAGGCCACTGGGGGCGACCGCCCCATGTAGTGAATGGCTGAGCCGCGGGCCGAGTGGTGTTGGCTGAGCGGTGTTTTGAGGCGAACGCCATCTTGCCTGCTCGAGGCGAAATCTGTGCAACCATGAATAATAAAAATAATTTTAAAAAAAAACAAGCCTAGAGCAGTGCGCGCTTTCCAGAAACAGGGACGCACGCGGGAGCGACTCGTTCCGGAAACCGGTTCCTTCACGGGGACGGCCCCAAAAAGCAGCCAACACTGCGCGTCTCTCCGCCCGCCGATAGGGTGCAGGGCTGCCAGGCCAGCGGTCGGCGGGAGAGGGTGGTGTGTGCAAGCGGGGGAAACCAGCCGCCAGTATAGCCATTTTCTCTCTGCTCGTGGGCGGTTCCGGTTAGTCCACGAGCCGCCGCGGATGTTTGGAGCGGAAGGTGAACATGCATGGCTTTGAGGGCTCGCCCCTTGGTTTGTTTTGATCCGTGCAGCTTCTTCCTTGGTTTCGCAGGTGAACCATAGTTCGGCGCTGGCCGCCTTCAGCACCGCTCGAGCGCCATCGTGCTCAGCGCATTCAAGAAGATGGTGGCCGGTGTCAGCTTACTCGCTGCAAAGCCTGGCAGTCGGGGTCAGCGTCCCACCGCATGTTGTGCCTGCGCACCGGGATTATGGCAGTGTGGGTCCTGAGACGGTGGATGACGACTGCTGTCCGGACTTGTTCCTTGCGCCTCTTCGTCCGTCCAACTCCAGAAGCATCCAGCGAGCGAAAAATACGCCGAAGACGCCAGCGCGACGTCATCATGGACGAAACCGTGACTGTGCTTGGGATTTCTCTATGGCGGTGGATGCTGCTTGCGAGTTCGTGGTTTTCGCTAAACGTGCTTACTGAGACTGTTTATGTGTCCGTGAGGTGCACCTGGTCTGTTTTTTTAGCTGAACTACCGTGCTTCAGAAATATACCCAGCGGCATTGTGAGTACTTTAAAAAATATTTTTCTTTGTGATAAAGAAGTCAGTTGTCCCTGTTCGATGTGATCTCTTTCGTCTACAGCTCCTTGCGCCGGGTTTGAACAAACGTTGATTTTTATCACCTTTTTGAGTTATAATGTGCATGTAAAACTAAATATCTGCAATATTTTCAATAATGTTTTGAACTCCATTTTTGTCTATGGTTCACAGCCATTTGGGCGTCTAAAGGGTTGACGGGTTGAAGAGCTGTGGGGCTAAAGGGTTTTTCTATGGAATATCCCTGTCGGGTTTTTCTGTAGGGTATTTTTGAAGGGTCTTGAAGGCCTGTGAGGTCCCATAATCCTTCAAGGCTGACGGGCCCTTTAGAAATGTTTTCAATAGGGTTAGGAGAAGCGCCCTCCGGTACCAGAAACGCATTAACCAGCTGAGGGCCAAATGACACATACTGCACCGTACGAGTACAATTTCGGTCTGGCGGTCCTGGAGAGCCACTTCTTGCCGACTTTAAAAGGGGTCGTTGTGCGACATCGCCTCTGGAAGCGAACGCAGCTACCCGTGGAATTTATAGACTCATTTGTTCCAAAATTACCGGATCTGTTGTAAAACTGCGAGTTTAGATTCACGGTGAACGAGTTCATCCGAGACCAGCTGGCCGGAAGTGATACGTCGACCCAGCAACCATCAAAACGGCCGCTCCTGAAAGGCACTTCAGGAGCAGCCTGAAGGGTCTGGACCGTGCGTCGGTCATCGGTCATCTTGTCGAACAAACAGTTCACTACTCTAAAGAGCTCTATCGTCTCCAGCAATGCAAACGATGGACACTAAGCCTTCACTGAGCGCCGAGCCACGAACGTGCCCACGGAAATGTGAGCCTTTGCCTTCCTCTGAAAGAAAGTGCCATCTTTGCGGGTCGCCGGGACATCTTGCAATTTCGCTGTATGTGAAGAAATAAAAAAAAAAAAGAACGAACGTGTGTTGATTTTTGAAAAGTGGGAAATTTCTGTGCTGCCTACAGCAGTACCGCCGGTCGCGTTAACTACGGCAGCGCCATCAGAAAAGTTGCCTGTCTGGATAAGTGCGGAAGATGTGGGCGAAAAACAGAAAAGTGATACATACATTCCTGTCCTCGACGGAAGGGCGCTATCCTTTTTTAATGACATCGGGTCAGCGGTCTTGGTTATCTTCGACGATATGTATCAGAAAAAAAAAATTATTTCTTCTCAACGGCTGCTGAACTCGGCTGATAATTCGTCTGATTTTTCGCAGTGGACGATTCCGTTGACGCGTTGTTTTGTTGGGAGGCTATTTTAAGCTTATACGTCATACCGAAGGGTACGAACATACCTTATAATTTGAAAATACTGCGACCTAATGTAAGGTCATTGCAGGAGTGAAAATTAAAAAGAAATTGTATACAAACAATTAAGTATCAAGTGCACACCCTACGGCATAACACCAACAACAATTTAACAAAGGGGGAAAAAGGCAGAACTAATAAATTGGTTGTGTACACTGCATACTCAATTGTGACACAACAAACAATACCATACAAAAAGAATATATTGAACTTACCGTTTAAGTTTCTCACTCAAGTGAAGAAATTGCTCCATCATTATTATTCCAATTTTAGATAGTTCTAGGAAGAACAACTTTTAAAACCATTGATTTGACATTGATTCAGTACAATACTCAATAGATAAAAACTTCGGGTACATGATTTAGTAATTAAAGCCATATACTTTTCAAAATGAAGTACGCAGTTTTTGTTTGTTTTTTTGTGTAGGAGATTCGAACGTTTCGGGTAGCGCGTTTGGAATTCAAGAGCTCAAGCCCAATGTCCAACAATAAGGATGTAGGAGAGAAGTTGCGACCGTCACGATAGTAATAAGCCTTGTCGCCTTAGCTTGTATTGCTTCGAGCGCCTTAATGTCACCTTTTAGAGACAGGTTCCAGGCCACACAGCCATACCTAAAGATTGGTCTGACTAAGGTCTTGCATGCGGTAATCTTGACTTCCCTAATTGAACATTTTAAAGTTATTTTAATATATCACAGCCCTTCAGTGCACGAGAGAAATAGAACTAATGTC